GGATTAAACACACCAGTCAAGAGACAGAGAGTAACAGAAAGGGTAAGAGTACAGGAACCTTCAATATGCTGTCTGCATGAAATACACCTTACACACAAAGACAACAATAGACAAAAAATTAAAAGGATGGAAAAAAAAAAACCTTACACACAAAGACAACAATAGACAAAAAATTAAAAGGATGGAAAAAAAAAAAAATCAAGATAATTGAAAAAAAAAAAAAAAAAACTAACCAGGATGGCAATATTAATCTCTGATAAAATAAACTTTAAGGCAAACCAGCATAAGAGACAAAGGATATTATCTCATGATTGAACAGGCCCTTGGAGGGGTGGCGGGGGAGAAGAGTCAATTGAACAAGAGAACCTAATAAATATCTATGCTCCCAATGAAAATAGTCCCAAAATATATAAATGAAACCCTAACAGAACTACAGAAACAGACAAGTCCACAATAGTGGAAGAATTTAACACACCACTTTTGAAAAAGGACAGAACCATCCAAAACAAATTCAACAAAGACAGAGAAAAGCTAAACAGCACAATCAACTGGCTTCATAGATTTGTAGAGCACACAACCCAATAGCAGCACAATATACAGTCTTTTCCAGAGTGGATGGAACATTCTCTAGAACCGATCCTGCATTAGGCCACAAAGCAAGTCTCAATAAATAAATACCAAAATATTACAAAGCATCTTCTCAGATCATAATGCTGTAAGATTAGAAATCAACAAAAAGAATATCAAGGAAATATATATAGAAACTGAATAACACCTTGCTTAAAAGCTACTGGATAGAACATATTAAAAAATCAAATTAAAATTTTTCTAGAGATAAATGAAAATGAAAACCTAGTAGCCAGCTGGTCTGAACTGAAGGGAGGCATGAAGGAACTCCCAAACTTGCAGATAGTACCCATTTGACCTAGCTTGGATGGCTAAGTGACCAAAACTCTACCAGATGAAGATTAGTGTGATACTGGGAAAATGTGTAAATTGCTACAATGTGATAAACTAGACCTTTGCTTATGGATGCAGTTGCTCAACAACTGAAATGGAAGGAGTCTTCATATCAAGGATCAAGCTTGTTTCCTCAGTGCATTGGGCAATGTCACCATCAAAAATAGAGGAGCCGGGGGTGGGGGGTGGGGGGTATAAAGGCACAAAGTGGCTGGTTTACAAGCAGTCATGAGTGTGCTTAGTTTCAGAATAAGGGGAATAAGGTAGATTCCTCACTGAATAGTTTTCTTTTCTAGATGGATCTGGTGAAAGGAGATGGGGTATGATAGTGGATAAGATTTTATGACTCAATTGTGAGCTACTGTTATCAAGACTAATTGTGATTGTCAAAACTGTAAATGTGGATGTGTAACGAAAATGGGGGTGCAGTCAATCTTTCATTTCAAGAACAGATTAGGGTCATCAAGAGGAAAGATCATGGCTGAAACATAAGATCCTGTCCAGAAAAGCTGTGCCAGGAGAGACGCTGGCAGAGATGATGGCATAGAGAGGGCAGCTGAGGACTGAGAAAGGTTGTGTGCCTGCAGGCAGGAGGCTGGTTTGCAAAACATACCCTTTGCACATTTAAATGAATATAGTATTTTCTATTTTATATGTATACCTCAAATACTTTTGCTGTGTTCATTTTTAAAATACAAGATTAAAAGAGAAACTGCAGGGTAGAAGCAGGACAACTGCTGTTACGGGGAGAGGCATGTAATCATTGAGATAAAACAAAATGTGTGACTGGTTGAAGATAAGTCTGATGAGTTTGTCTGCTTACCTTCACTCAATTCACAATAAAACATTAAAAAAAAACAACAAATAAATTCAGTGCTCAGATGCTTACAGAACTACGTGAAGTTTAAAGATTAATCAGTGAAAAAAAAATTCAGGGGAAGAGGGAAAGCTTACTTAATACAAAGATCACCTGAGTGTCTGAACGTTAAATGAGGTATCCTAGGTTTTTGTTTGAAAATGGTACAATGAGATGCATGAAGATTGATACCCTAGGCATTAGCCAGCAGAAACAGACAGCTATTGGCCATTCTGAATTGCACAATCATTTGTTCATGCTGGGATGAACAAATTGAAGAGAAATGGTGTCACACTTCTCATCAAAAGTAACATTTACAGATCTATCCTTAATTGCAACATTGACAGGATACTATCCATACCATATAGGGGAAATATAAAAGCATTGGTGGTTGCACAAAGTATCTTTGTATGACTCACAGTATTAGTTACAGTGACTGCCCCTAGGAGGGAACCAGGTTACTAAGGTCCAAAAGGAGACTTATTCTTCACTAGATGCCTATCAATTTTGAATGTTAGAAAATATCAAATGTACATTTCTTATACAGGTACAAATACAAATGCAAAATTATTATCTATACTGTGGGATGACGGATGAGCTATCAATAATACTTATGTCACAAAAATGCAGTATCAATTCAAGTTTAATTATGTTACCTTTTATTACTTTACAATATATTTCACAAAATGCCTTTACAGTTGCCTTAACTGCTCTATAAGGCCTGGAATAAAAGAACACTTGGAATCAGAACACACAAACATGGAATATCTACTTGTACTGAACATTATTAACAAAGGGTTGCTGATTTTAATTAAGCAGATGTGTGGCAATATAAAATAAAATACACACGTGTTAAAACAACCGTAAACTTTGTTTTAATGGATATAGAAAGGAGGTGGTTTTGTTTCTTTTCAACACAGCTGGTTCTAGCAGCAAGTTGTATTATACAATATATGCTCCTAAAAACTTTTAAGTCTGTGTGTGTCACTTATCAGCCTAGACACAGGGAAAAATAAAAAAGTCTGCATATATGCTTCTCAACACCCATTCTTGAAGACTCTCACGGTTGATGGTACTTTATATTCGTTTGTCCCCAGTGACCCTGGATGCTTTTAATTTTTCTAAGAGAGGGATGAAAATGTAAAGAAACTCTCCAAAATTCAATTCTCATTTCACACTTGCAAGTAGTAAAATAGCAGCTCTGCATGTTGGTGAAAAGTAATTTCAATTTTTCCCTACTTTTCTTTACTCAGATGACATTAAAATTTACCTGAATTTATCTGATTTCCAATAAAAAGGAAAAAAAATATTAGCTGCCAACTATTCCAGAAACTTCATAAAGCATTGCATACATGTAATTCATTTTTATCTATTAATATATATCTAAATATAAACACTATGTATTTATCTTACCTTCACTGAAGTTCTTTTTTCTGGTTGGGTATGAGAAATAAGATTAAGATCACAATGTTGGCTTTCTTTATAAGCAATTACTCGGGTCTTTTTCTCATCAATATCACTGCAAAGTTGTCAAAATGAATACACAAAAGACAATATAATAAATGGGAACACCTACTGAACAAGTTTTTGCCAGGCAATCTATGTTTTGTAGTTCAGACCAAAACCAAATCCAGCGTCGAGGCCATTCTGACTCATAAAGACCTTACAAAGGACAAAGTAGAACTGCCTATCAGGGTTTCTGAGGCTATCCATCTTTACAGAAGCAAACTACCTCATCTTGTGGAGTGGCTGGTGGACTAGAATGGCCAACCCTTTGGTTAGTAACCCTACACTTTACCCATTGTGTCACCAAGGCTCCTACTTTAAGGCTAGCCTTTTTCCAAGTGGCACTACAGCAGTGTTTTTTGTTTTCTTTGTTTAAGTCTGTGAATTCTTTACTACAATTACTTTCTTGTAGCAGGGGCTAATGTACAATCACAAAGTAAGGCTTCGGGACCATTATGATTGCTTGCCATATTTATGATGGACATGACTCTCAAAATCTGACAGAAACCAAACTAAACAGTAATCAACTGGAACCACATTTTTCACATTCAAATAAGCTTCAAAAGCACTTTGCTAATACACACACCTCCTTCTCAACTGATTTTATGCTATTCTTACTAAAACACATTAAACTGAAAAGTTTTTATAGTATTGCATCATAAGAAATTACTACACTTTAATTTACAAAATATCATTAATAACGTCCTTTATATAAACATGGTTGGCAAAATAAAAAGGCACAAAAGGGGGAGTAATGAGAAATGTTTTCTTCTGACTTTCAGTTAAGGGCACCAAATCAAGTATTAATGAATAACAAGAAAAAATTGTTCAGTAATTCATGCACAACTTGAGCTTAAAAAAGAATTCTCATCAGCTAGGTATCGAGGCTTGAAAAAAAATGAATATCCTAATCAAGTGCCTAATATATGAGAGTAAGTCAAAAAGTATTGGAACTAATATTCCAATTCATATATGCATGGGTCATTCCAAACAAAAACATGTCTCTGCGATCAGTAGATGCCTGCAGATGAGTTCTCTCAGTTTAGTCTCTTTATGGTGCCTTCCCAAAATGTGTTCAATCAAAACAGTGGCTTCTGAAGGGATCTGCTGGGCCAGTTAAATTCAAGGCAGAGAGGTCTGCTCAGAAGGAAACAGCGATGTTTTTTTTTCAAACTTCAAAGGTATAATCTTGATAAAATTTTCTCGACACACGATGATCACTGGGCTCATTACGAAGACGTGTAAGAAAACTGAAAACTGAATTGTTGATAAAAAGGCCAGGAATGTTGCACTGAGGAATTTGTTTCCATGACAACAATGCACCTGCTCATTCTTCAAGAGTAGCAAGGACTGTCCTATGAGAATTGCCTTGAAAAACCTTAACCCATCCAACCTATAGCCTTGATCTTGCCCCTTCCAACTTCTTTTTGTTCCCCAAACTCAAAGAACATCAAAAAGGAACACAATCTGAGTCCCTCAAGTAGACCAAAACTTCCATTTTGAATTGTAAATTGAAGAGTGCAGAATTCTTCAGAAAAGGGTTAGAGAGATGGGGATACAACCTTCAGAAGTACGCAGACCAAATGGAGGCTATATCAAGAAAATAACTTCACATTTTGATATTTTTGTTCAATAAAGGTTTCTGTAACTTTATAGCAATACTTTTGGACATAGCCTTGTACAATGAAATGTAAAGCTGCACATAATGTTTGGTTTAACAGTGGACCCATATGAAAAAAAAAAGGGAGGCCATAACACAAAACTAAAAATATCTTGAGAAACAAAGCAGTTCCGCCTGTAGCCTCTGTCCTTCTTACCACTTGGTGGAGTAAAATGTCCAATAAACTGTAAAATGCAGCATACGCAATCATATAATCTAAAAACTTTTCATGATAATTTATTGCAAATTGCACTTGACAGTTCACCACAACAATGGAACACTGGCCCCTTGGTGGTTCACACAGTCCTTGAGCCCCAAATTTAAGTCACCAGTAAAATGATCTGGATAAAAAGTTTGCAGCTGTGCTCAGCCAGCTGGCTCCACCTTCTGGGTGCGAGCCGACCCGGGACACCGCTTTATCTTGCTCCTTCGTGGGACTCTCATCCTCAGGCAGGTAGTCTGGTAGGTCTGTATTCTGCTCTACTTCCACAGGAGTATCTTGGAATGGAACCAACAGCTAACACACAGAAAACGTTGAGTTATTATAAATCAACTTAGTGTGACACACACATTATTCTTTATTCTAATTGCCATAATTCCTCTCAGTGGCTGTATTCCTTTAAATATTTTACTTTTACAGGAATGTAGGTCCAACTGCTGATCGCTACATTAGCACAGAAAGGAAAAAAAACAAATGAGACCTTGGATGTTTATCTCCTGAAGCTTTAGCAGTAAATCCGTAACCTCTGCCTATATAACAATACACAATAACAAAAGATTCAAGCAAGTTTCTCCATTGTGGGACTGTGGAGTGTTACTGTTCCTCTTTTCTGTGGGCAAACAAATAAGCTAAAGTTATACAGACTTGTTTTCCCTATCACAAAGCTAACAGAAACGGTAGAAACAGGCAAAGGTTTTCACCATATTGGCTTGTCAGTGTTTGGACTTTCATTTTCTGTACTGATAAAACGAATTACGGTTATGAAGAAAAAAGTATTTACATACAAGCAAGGAAATCATGTATCCTTTAATATCCCTATAAAATCAGCAAGACATCTCTACTGAGATAAAGAAATTCTATACAAAAGAGCAGACTTTGAAACACATAAACGAGCTCTCTGTTTCTAAAACAGCTAACTATCAAGCAATAATATTTTAAGATACTCCTTGTCAATCTCAATATCTGGCTAGTTTGGAGCTAGAAATACTGTTTTTCTTCTGGCCACACAGAATAATAAAGAGTCAGAGTTAGGCTCCAGCTACAACCCGGGAGAAGCCCTGATATCCAAGCAAAAGAATTATTATGGAAGCATATTCAAAACTTCAGACCTCAAGACAAAGCCCCAATCCAAGTGAAGGGTTTGGGATGGGAGGGGGGAAAGATGTGTGCCACTATTACTTTTAAATTGTGAATTATATAATTGTTTAAACAAACAAAAAGACAATCTATGATGATGAGGGGTAACGATGGGAGGGATTATTCTTGGGCTAGAGCGCAGACACATGTTGATACAGGTGACAGGGTAGACAATATACAACAAGAGGGAGGTTAGCTGAGGAAAGATGAAGGTAGCAGGAGACACAGGAAGGAATGTAATATTTAAGTGAATAGAAGTAAATACTCTTAACTGTTGGCACATGGAGGGGACTGCAAACATGTAATTAAACAAAGTATATGATTTATTCAATGTAAAACTCATGATCTGCTCTGTAAACCATTACTAAATTCAAAATAAAAAGTTTGTTTTTTAAGTTTTTAAATGAGTCAGTGTTAGGCATAAATAGATTGTTTAAAGTTTTTTACCTCTTCTCCACTTTCACTTTTCACAACTTGCTGAGCTTTCATAACCTTAGTTGATGCTATTGCTGATGCCAAAGCCTAGGCCAGGATAAAAAGGACACATTTTGAACAGATTCATTTACTTGCAATATCAAGCATAGTCAGTCAACCACTGAAAATACTAACCTCTGCTTTCAAATCTGAACGGATTCGCACCACACATCTTTGAACAGCCATTTGAAAAGTAAAGCTAATAACTCCTTTAATTTTTAACAAAGCTTCTTCACACAGGTTTCTTCGGGACTGAAAAAAACAAAACAAACTGTTTCACTAATAAGTGGTTATGAATAAGCCTCAGTGAGTCATTACCTTCCGGGGCCACAATGTTACCAACTCCCCAATTCAGTTCTCCTATCTCATCCTTGAGGGCACAGTCTTTAATTATGCTTATTACATTTTATAAGGGTATTGGAGTAATAATTCCTATTCCCACTATATTTTTTTCAAGCTTCATTACTTACTAATATTAAGTTTTAGTAATTTTAATCAGTAATAAGTTAAACAATATTAATTTATATCTTAAAACTCTAGAATAAAAATAAAGTAACCCAGAGAAAACACTGAAAACCAAAGGTTCCTCTAGTTCTAGGGTGGTAAATTAAAAGTTTTTGTACATAACGTTTTATTGAGAGATAAATACTTTCTTTATACATTGTCTAAATAGGATAACTTTCATGCTAAGGCATGGTTAGCTTTCATGAGAGGCCACATGACCTGAAAAGAAAGTCTAAAATGCTCACTTGGATATTAAGTGGTCATCTCAAACACAAGATCTAAAGTGCAGATGGCCTAAAAGTCACTGGAGTTTCTGCTCATCCTTCCCTTCACCCCAGCCCACATCTTAAACCCCTCTCTCTCAATGTTCCTGTTTCTGTATTAAGTCCAGGTTCTAATTACGTACTTCTCTGAAAAAAGAGTAATCTGCATTGGACCCCTACCCCAAGTCTGTGAAACAGAAGCAGTGCCTTCAAATTAGCCAATTCAGTCTTCTCTTCCACTGAAAGAAAATCAGATTTTCAAAGCTATCCTCCCCCGCCCCCCTTCCCCCCGCATCCTTCAAAACACATTATCCTTTATTTCTCAAAAACTCTGGTATCAAAGTCCTGGGTTCTATGGAGCCCCTAGGGATTGATTCCAAACAGTTTCATGGTTATTTCTTCCATATGTTCAATACTAGTTCAATGTCAATGCAGAAAAAATGGTTACATTGAGCATACTACATGAAAGTTACGGCACTACTGGTCTAATCTAATTCCTTATTTCAAATGTGATGAAGGCGAAAAATAGAAGAGTTAGAGAACTTGCCTTGCCTACCACAGATACTTTGGCACTTGTTGTTAAGTGCCGTCGAGTTGGTTCTGACTCATAATGACCCTGTGTAGGGTTTCCGAGGAGCAGCTGGTGGATCTGAACTGCCGACCTTGTGGTCCAGTGTTTATCCTACAGTGCCACACCAGGAAATACCATTAATATAGGTAGCTATAAGACATTAGTGAGCTGAAATGGACTGGTATTGGCCATTTTGAATCTGACAACCACATGGTTTACTATGCAGGGAATGACAAA